CTCAATTGTATTCTTGAATAGACGGTTTATGTTGAATAACCATCAGGTTTTGTCAATTCTCACTACCATGATCATTATTATGTATTAGACAAAACTATTTATGGTCTTAAACAATCCCCTCGTGCCTGGTATGCTAGTCTTACTAAGTTTTAGAAATCTTCGAAATTTAAACAAGGATCTATTGATCTGACTCTCTTTCAAAAGAAAGTTAGGAATCACCTCATGCTTATTCAAATTTATGTTGATGATATTATTTTTGGTTCCAATGACCCTCAATTGTCCTTAGAATTTGAAAACATGATGAAAAGTCAGTTTGAGATGAGCATGATGGGGAAAATAAACAATTTTCTTGGATTAAATATTCGTCAAAGCAGAGAAGGGACTTTTATCAAATAAGAGAAGTACACACGAAATATTCTTGAAAAGTTTGGAATGACGAATAGCACTAAGTTGAGAGTACCGATGGCAGTTGGCACATGACTAAGTCCTTCATTAGAAAAACCAGCTGTTGATATCACATTCTATCGAAGCATGATAGGTTTGTTACTATATCTAACTGCTTGTAGACCTGATATCATGTTTTATGTGTGCAATTGTGCTAGGTACCAATCGAATCCTAGAGAACCTCATTTTACTGCAGTGAAAAATATTTTCACTATCTTAAAGGCACCATTTTGTTAGGATTGTGGTATCCATCGAAAACGGGATTTTTTTTTCATTCAATCATTTCCAGATTTACATCTGGGTGGGTGTTAATTAGATCGAAAAATCACAAGTGGTGGATGTCAATTACTGGATAGGAAGCTTGTGAGATGGCAATCGAAGAAACAAACATGTGTTTCGATTTCCACGGCAGAAGCAGAATATGTTTTTGTTGTACCTTGCACTTCTCAAATAATATGGATTCAAAGTCAACTGCATGATTATGTAATCAACATGAAGAAAATTGTGTTGTATTGTTATTGACAAAGTGCCAAACACATTTGTCACAACCCTGTGCAACTTTCAAAAACAAAGCAGATTGCTCTTCATTATCACTTCATCAAAGATCATGTTAAGGAAGGAAACATTGAAGTTCATTTTGTAAAAAATACTGATCATCCTGCTGATACTTTTAGAAAACCATTGGACAAAAAATCTTTCATGAGAATTTTGAATGTCTTAGGAATGTTGGATGCAAATTTAGTTCTGGTACAATCTTCGATAAAATGATAAGGCACAATCGTCGAAAACTGTCGGTTCAGTGGTTACTGTTCATGGTCAATGCTTCAACATGCTTCAAATTCAACATCATGGAAAATTGGTTTGTCAACAACTTCGTTACTTTTGCTATTTTCAAATTTTCGCTAGTCAGGTACAATGATTTTTTTTTGTCTTTCTTTACCAAAAATCCAAAAACACAAAAAGATTTTCATTTCTTTTTCTATTTCAAAAATAAAATATATCAAAAAGATTTTAATATATTTTTTTTATTTTTCTTTAAAAAACTCAAAAATCCAAAAATATTTTTGTTTGGTTAATATTTTCATATGTAGAATGTAGCGAAGATTTTTGTTCGTTCTTGATAGCTTCTTGAGGAAAAGGTACAATTTCAAAACTTTATCCTAGTTAGGATGTCCCTAGAAGCATGGTGCAACATGTCGACCCAAACCTCCATGACTCATTTTGTTTTCGAAAGCGTTAATGGTATTTTCATCATGGAAATTCCTTCACAATCAGGTTGTATTCACGATAGTACCTGAGCTACCTTACTCTTCTCAGATGAGTTAAGAGTTTCCTGCTTGGTCCAGATACAACAGAGGTACTTTTGAATCTTAAACCAATTTTTTTCATCCTAAGTTTCTTATACTTTCACACTCAATGACATATGTCCAAGAGATTTTTGGTATAAACCAATCAAAATCTAGATATATGAAACATCTGTGTTAATGATCTGAATTCATGAGACCGTGATGAAAGTGAAACCCAAAATTTTGAACCATTTAAGGAATTGACAGGGAATTTTATTCCAGATTTTGACGAAACATTTGTTTCTGTACTAATTTTCGATGCTCAAAATCATATTCTTTCTTTTTTAGTATCTTGATCAAATGTTCGAACCCCACAACATTTGTTACCCAATAGGATTCAGGAATAATTTAGATTTGAAGAATATGATTTCCATATGAGTGTCATTTGCAATCTTAGTTACTTAATATTTTTTCCAAAGCCTACTTGTCATTGACTACACTGATCATACATGTAATTTCGTTTACAATTTGTTACTCTTATGTTTAGATGTATTTTGTAAGGAAATTTGTTAGCTACCCACAAATCTTGAGAAAAGAGGTCCTTCGACACTTCTCTATAAGTATTCGATTGTAATTCATAGGAAACCACACATATTGTTAGTCATCTCTCTTGATGAATAACGAAGCGATCTTTACCCAGGATCATATTTCTTTTGTGTTGAAAGAATTTTGACATCACAACATTCAAATTTCTTATCTTGATTCTTATCTTTTTATTTGGAACACTTATGCACTCATGAAATCCTTGAGGTTCTGAGTAATACCAACTCAGGTTGATGATTTCGAAAGTCTGGCACATGACTTCGCTTTAAAACACAAAATTGAAAGAGCCCAACCTCCATTTCAAAGGTTTTTGACGGTTCTCATTCTCTTGGGGAAAGTTAATAGCCTGTGTGATGTGATGTTTTGTGTTCCATTTCGGTTTTCAAGGAAAAAGTGATGATCCCTTTGTCAAGCATGGCTACTTTTCCGGTGACTGGAGCGATTTTCAAGGAGCCACGTCAGCTACATTTAATGCTAAAACCGCTTCAAATTCAAATTTCAAAGCAACTATAAAAAGGGTTTTCAGGGATCAATTCCAAGTTTACACCTACTTCAAATTCTCAAAAAGATTTGTGCCTTGATTTTCTCTGATTTCTTTAAGAACATTAAAACCCTAACCATGGCTGCTAATCAATCCCAAACCACTGATTATATTACTTCTTACCCACTCATAAAGATTCAAAGTACCAATTTTCAAGTTGTTGGTGATGTTGATGCTTATCTAGAAGGGTTATAGATGCTAATAGTTGCTCTTCAAAATTTTGTGTTGTCCACGGCCATGTTCAGTTTGTTTGTAGTTTCTCTCACTTGGCTCTTGATTGCTTGTTTTACTGATACTTACGGCAGGACAGTGCAACTTGTTACTTTCCAACTGGTGAATGACAAGAAATTCAGGTTAATGAAGAAAATTTTTGCTCAAATTCTGAATATTCTCAATGTTGAACCTTTTATAAGGTTACCAATGCACAAATCATTCACGTGTTCAACGAGATGGGTCATTAACCTGTTCTTACTATGATTAGTGATTTCAAGAAGTCTTGTTTACCATGTATCTGGAATTTTCTGTTTGGTATCTATATTCGATGTTTAACTGTAAGAACAGTTGGGTTAGAAAAAGGTCGTTTGGAGTGTATTCTCTGGTTGCTGGAATCGACTATGTCTTACAAGTGGATTATGCGACTCAACTTTGAAAGGAATTTATCAAGAGTATCGATAACTCAAATGTTGTTGTTGGGGTTTTGTGTGGTCGATATTGGAGCATGAACTTATAATTTGTCTATTAAAAAGAAGGGATTATGGTTTCTGAAAGTGATGAATTAGCTGAGTTTGCCACCTATCATTATCTTAAGACTGTGGAGGATGATATAGATGTTTTTTCCACTGTGGCTCGTATTCCTGATGTGGTGTTTCAAAAAGTGGATCCTGTAAATCCAATTTTAGTCAAATATTTGACATCTGTTAATCCTTCAATTGAGACTAGAAAGTTGTTGGATGGCTCAAATGAAGGTTCTTCGAAAAGGCGTAGAGGATTCAAGAAGAAAGTTCGGGTTAGTCCTCTAGATGCTAGTCTTGAGAAAGTGTTGAAGAAAACTCTTAAAGGTGATAAAATTTCAAAGAAAAAGGATTCATAGTCGATAGTATCCAAACCAGTTATTCTAGAAAAATAGGTAGTTGCTATGAAGTCTGGTTTTCATAAAAAGCTGAAGAAAATGGCTTACCATTCCAGTAAATGATCTACAAGCTTTTCACTGAAACTTCATTACAAACAACAAGTGAATTGAAAGGGGGTGATTTTTGTGAAATTCCAACACCTATTTCTGCACAATCAAAGAAAAGGCATGCTGAAGAAATGGCCAAACACATTCCCTCGAAACAGAAGAAACACAACCAGAGGAAATTAGTTTTGTAAGAAAATTAAGCTGATGAAGAAGTGGTTCTGGAAACTCCCATTATTGATACTATACTAGGTCATTCTTCACATGTGAGGGATTCTCCAGTTAAGTCGAATGACGAGGAGAATGGAAATCTTGATGGAAATATGGAAACTTCTAAAATGGACACAACCATTAATCATGGTGAACAAATAACACATTCTATTCCTGAGAAGACACTGGTCGTACCACTTAAAGTTTCGCATACTGAATCATTAAATGAGGAGGTTCGAACTTCAAACGTCAATGCACACAAATCTGATACGGATGTAAATGTTCATATAGGTGAATGAGTATTGACTAACGAAGCCCAGGGTCATCCTACTTTCGTTACATCTTTATCTATTCACACTTTTGTCCTTTACACTACCATTTCGTTACCACCTTATATTGTTCCCAATCCATATCATAATCCTTCATTCACTTATTCTCCTACTTTTGATACCATTATAAAACAACCGATTACATCTTTTTTTCCTTCCCAATCTCCTAAAAAACCACAATGAGTTCATGAAGATGAAATGGATGATGGAGGGTTTGTGGGGTCCTTTGCTTAAATTCAGTTTAGTTCTGAAGAAGAGAACATTCCTGATCACATGTTGATGTCAAGAAAGTAGTTGAAGATTCTAAACAGTAAGTTAAACTCATTGCTTCAACTTGAGTCTAATTGAGGAGGAAACATTTGATATCTAGTCTTGAAGTTGATGTCACGTTGGAAGCTCAAAAGCATCCTCTTATGGATAATCATGACAGAATGGATAAGAACAATGAGCTAAAGGTTAAATTTCAGTCTAATTCTTTCGATGTTGCATTTCGTGATTTAAAGGCCACTGCTAAGTCTCGACATGTTCTATATGTTCAAGATGTGAAGGCTGTTCGAGAAAATGTAAATCTAAATATTCAAGAGTTACATGAAGACGTGACGAACGAGATAGCTACCGTAGATAAGAATTCTTCTACTCTTCACAATAAGGTAGATGTAATTGTTGACGCTGTTGCAAAAGCCGTTGAACTCTACTCTTCATTGGTTCTGAAGTTTGATAACAAGGCTAGGATGGATGTTACTAGTTTTGGCAATGTTGATAGATTGTTGCAAGAGTTAAAGGATCTTATGTCCAAGTATTATTCTTCAAAGACTTCGATTGTATCTCCTGAGTTTTTCAATGAAAATTTTCGCATGTTAGAGTCCTCAATTCACAATGAATTGGCCCCACATGCGATGTTTGCAAATTTTATGCCAACGACTGACCTGCCTGTGAGCACAGGTATGCAAGGGGGAGAAAGGAGAATTTTTGGCATTAGAAGTGGATATAAAGGAGAAGGGGGTTATGGAAGTGTTAATGGTGATGCGAAGGTGGTTGGTAAAGTGTTGACTAAACAAATTCCAACATCTCTACCAAAAACATCAATTATAACTTCATCAACAATAACAACAAGGCCTATCACAAAGGGAATTGTAATTGGAACTGCAGTGGAGAGTCAGGATCATTGAAACCCAAGTTGTAACAACATAAATTTTCAAACAAATTTTTCATTTTAAATCATATAATTCTCGTAGCACATTTCACAAAAATCTCATTGATTTAATTTACAAAACACAACTCCATAATTGTTTGATTTGTACTCCAAGATCCTCAAAATGTAATTCCTACTCTGGTGTGTACAATCAAGCCGGTGCGTTACCACGATCCTGGGAAAACCTGAAATGCATATCACGTAACATGGTAAGCACGAAGCTTAGTGAGTTCCCCAAAGTACCACATACAACATATTAGCCACTCGAGGCTATAACTCTGTAAGACCCTCCGGCCTATGTGTCTCAGTGGGACCCTCCAATCCCATGGCTCGTTGTACCATCTGGTTCGGTCTCATTGAGGACCCTCAGGTCTCATCGCTCATTAGACCCTCCGTTCCGGTCTCAGTGAGGACCCTCCGGTCTCACAACTCGTTGGACCCTCTGGTCCGGTCTCGATATCACATAACATAGCATATATATCACACAGACAAACTGCATAACTCAAATGAGCACATACGACCCTCTTGTCACACATAAATATCACTCTACGTAAAGTATAGTGAGAAGACTCACCTCGAATGATGAAAAACCCCTAAAAACACTGCTGCTGTGGACCGGCCTCTATCTCTGAGCCAATCCCACAATTCACTCAATTAGGAACTAAGTCCAAACTCTCACTCATAAGGTATAGAGGTAACCCACTAACTAGCCCATCAATAATATAAATCAATTGGACTAGTAAATAGACTCTCCCGAGGCCCAAATTCTAAAATATAAATGGCAAGCCCAACCAAGGGCCCAAAGCGCACACACACACACATACACACACACAGATATATATATATATATATATACATATTCCTCTGGTCCAAAACTCTGTTACAACCAGTCCAAAATCTAGACCCAACACTCCAGGCCCAAAAATGAGAAAGGCAACAAGATTCAAACTTTATGCTTTCTAGAGCTACATCAACCTGATTAGGGATTGGATCCACAACCTCCAGGCCAAGCAATGCTTCCTTAAGGAACTCCTTCTTCCACAATGTGTACCAAAAACTCACTAAATCACCAAAATGCTCAAGAATCACTCAAATGGTGGCTTAGGGTAGATTTCTAAGGTTTAGAGGGATGGAGGATAAAGATATTAGGGTTAGGTTATGAGATAAGGAGCTTAAATATGGTCCAAGACCCTAAAATCGGGTTCACGGCTGATCAGCGTACTCCCAACATATATATGGTACGCCCAGCGTGTTGGGTTTTGAGCAATCTAACACTTCCTAAGTGTGCATGCAACGCTAATAAACCTTGGATCTATGTTTATCTAAATACATGCAAAATAATAATTTTTCCAAGGTTTATAACCTATCTAACATGGCATGGGGAACATTTCAACATAAAGAGTTAGAAGAGATTACATACCTTGTTGATGAGTTTGGTTCTTGAGGAGTTTGAGGGCCAAGCACCAATAGTGTGACTGCCTCAAATGGAATCACAAAACACCACAAACTCTTGGAAAACTTTGAGAGAGTTTATACACTTGTATATTTCGGCCACACACAAGCTCACACACACTAGTTCACTAGTTACACTTAGGCACCATTTCATGCTCCATAAGCATGCTTATATAGTGTGCATGGTTAGGGTGAAACCCTAATAACCCATGACCTTTCCTTTCCAAGGATCCATGGGTTAAAAGCTCCATGGATCATTCATGGACTTCCATATAAGCCTAGCCCATTAACAAAAAAGCATTAGCCCACACTATATAAAACCAATAGCCCATAATCTAATTAGTCTTCCTTTTAATCTCTAAATTAATTCATAATTAATTTAAGACTAAAACTAATTAAATAACATAATATCATATTAATATATTATAACTTATAATATATTAATAAACATATGTGTATAACTCTCATAAAATTATCCATAAATACTTTGGATGAGATGCAACCCAAATGGACCATGTCGGGTCGGGTCAAGTATATACCAAATAAGTTATGGACTTAGACACCTTATCCAACAGACTCCCACTTGGATAAGTCTAATAACTATATTTGCGTATGTTACTTCAGGAACCAACCAGCAATCGTAGCTCTCGAAAACTCCGTTGAACTATGAAGACTCTGTTGAACTATGAAGCGCTATTTTAGATAAGCGATCATATAATCCTCTGTCTTCATTATATCAGCTGGACAAATACATGGAACAACGTCGTACTTATTGTCCAACAGTTTGTTTCCCGATTTCCGATTTGTTTGACAAAGAACTTAATCGAACACATCAACTTAGTTCTGACCGGCCGGTACATAGGTCACAACAAAATCATCGAGGGGCCCAGATATCGCTTCTATTTCTAGAAGGAACAGATAAACTTTGACTCATATGCTTGTTCTACTACTTCTTGAATTGTACACAAAGGCACGTTTTATAACATCAAGTTACTGATGCGTTTACATGCAATCAATGCACAACCAACTCATAGGAAACAACTCATATCTCTAGGTTTGAAGATTTATATGATATTATCGTCTCACGATCACTTGAGTTAAATTCCATGAAGTGATACAAGTGAGCATGGGTTTATACCAATACTCATAACTTATGAGTACTCATGAATGTTGCAGCAACCATTTCTATGACTAAACCCATTTAGCCATCTACAAACCCGATTCATGACAGTCTTGATTCATACCTACTTCCAACATATGAACGACTGTGGAGTGTTTAAATAACTTAGTCATTCGAAAAGAATAACCTAGCTACTTTGGAAGTCAAAACATGCAAAGTGAAACACAATAATAATCGAATCCCATATGGTCTCAGAACCCTTTTGAATATAAATAAAACCACCTTTTATTTATCACCATATTGATTACACATTATTCAATGTTTCAAATAATCAACTTAAGACTTGAATAAAACAATAGTCGTCCCATGATCCTAGAATGTACACTTTGTTTTTCTAAACAATAGTTAGGCCATACTCCAAGTATGCACACTATGTTTGTCTATGATCCTTACATTGTGATGAAGATCAATTGAACATGATTCCAATGATACTCATTTCACAATCCCAAATCCTTATTGTAAATGTGAGAATCCCCGATTCCTATCATTTACCAAAACAAAAAGTTAGATTTTAAACTTTTATGCAATGTTCCTCTTGTAATGATTACGCACAAAGTCACCAAAACCTTGTCACCAGTCATTACAGAGTATTCCAAAGAAGGTCAACTTCTATGGAACGGAAGTCTCATATTCAAAGTACATTACTTTGAACATCCTTCTTGCATTAAGGTTTTGTAATCTTACATAGATTGAATAACTTCCACCTATGGAGACATTTCCATAGTCCCATTTTGACTATCATTTCCGAACAAGAGTTACTTCTTTTCAGAACATGTCAATACGGTCCTTTCCGACAACTTACATCATACTTCCAACTTTACCTGATCAACCAATCTTTGGCGAACCTCAGATTTGTCCTCGACAATTGCTTAATCACTTTAGTCATATCCAGTTCTAGACCCTTTCCCTTCTCAATGCCTTAAGCATTTGGAAAATTTAGAAAGGATGAATATTATAGCACATGAAATCGATCCTATATACGAAGCATATGGGACACGATTCATGATGTCTCACATAAAGACATGATACTAGACCAATCTTTTGCTACAATATTTTTTTTTATTTGCCATGTTTTCAAGATTTAACTATGAAGAGGGATGCCGTAGACATAATTGAATTTTGAGAACGCAATATATATAGAATTTCCTTAAGTCGAACCATTCAGACATAAAATTCATATATATGTCCTTGACTAAAGATGATTAAAATCTCAATTTCAAGCTTCTAGAATTGAAATGAAGTATAATTTTCTCTCCCTTAATTATAGCAAAACGACTTTTTCAACCCCTGCAACTTCACGAATTGAAACTTTTTTTTTCTATAATTAACATTGCTAGCTTGCAATACTAATCATAATTATCATGCTCCCACTATCATGATGATTATTAGCATAACACTTATGCTCCCACTAGCTCTGATATATTTCCAGAAATCTGCTGGACTTCTGAAATTTAGATTCATACACCCTTTCTTAGATAGCTCATATGTGTGTCTAAACAATTTTCAGAAATATGAAAAGGGATGTCGTAATCATAGTCTCAATTGCTTAGGCATTTTCTTATTTCTCACAAGTCCATGTTAGTGTGCCGGTTAACCACACACGCTCCACTAACGACTTTTGAAAATGCAAATAACACAATTACTATCTACTTAAAATCTACTTAGTGAAAGCGTTTCCCTACCATTATTCTCATGAATCGGAGAGAAACCTTATGACACTTAGATTTTATAGTGTATGAGTTCCTATCCATGCGAATTTTTCAAAACCATAATCACAAGATAAGGTTAGTGACAAATTTAGCCTTACATGGATTAAACTTGTTCAATCTTAGTTTCTTGTCACCTTGGTAGCACAAGGCCCACCAATGCTTCCAAGATGAACTCTGATAACTCACATGCAAATTCAACTTATTTGAAGTAGGTACAGAAATAAGAATTATGTCAACACGATAGGTTGCAAACCTTAAGTCGTGTGCTAGTGATAAATTACAGGTTTTACTCTTGATTAAATCTTGAAACTCTTTCAGGATCTTTAAGGCTCCCACTGTCCCCTTGACATATAAGTTTCCCCAGTCAAGAACCATTCCTTGACAAAACAAATATTCAAGGGATAGTGCGGATTCTTATCAAGACTAACACTTTACACAATTGGTCTTAGTTGGTCTTTGTCTCATCCAAGACATCATAACTTACCAATCTCAAATGTACAAGAGTAGAAAACATTTTACTCTTACATTTGATAAGTGTTTTAAACCTTAATTTATGTCACTCAATGTTACAATCTTGGAGTATGACTCTAAGAATTGTTTTGGAACGAAGTATGACTCATCTTCTTGATTTTAACC